ACCAACCACTGACACTAATGTTGACATATTGACTCTATTTTCCTGACATGAGCTGTAGGAAATAAGCCGGGTAATTACAGTGATTACGAACAGCATTATTGTGAGCTAAACTTTACATTTTAGTTAAATTCACTGTAGGAAGCTGCACACATAATGTGCTCATGTAATAAAACAGACAGGATAAAGATAATGAGATATTTAGTGAGCCACTTCATGCAGACGCTAGTCAGCGTGCTCGGCTCAATGGGCAGATGATGGGTGGATCCCAGCGAACGCAGCCCACAAAATACAACCTTTTGTCCAACTCCATAATCCATTTGTTACACTCAGACCAATTTGTCCTCATTAACCCTCATAAGGGGACTGTGTCTGAGACAAAAGCTCCAGGGGAACAATGAGCAACCCCCTCCCTACTCTTCCCCTTCAACGTCCATCCACATTGCCGCAGCTCAAGTGCTCCCCTTCCCAGCACAGTGTGGCCTCTTGTTGCCCAGAAGGTTCCAGTCTATGAGCAAGAGACAGACAGAGCCCAACAAGCGAGGTACACCTGAAAGAAAAAAATCCCCATTTCCGCGTTAAGAATGAAATATCTTCCGAAAAAACACAATGCGACATCTTGTATTGTGTTCAGGTCACTCCATCAATCAACTCTGAAATAAATCTTGACGTGACAAACAAAGAGCAACCGCAGAGAAAAGGAAGGGGAGTTACAGTAACTTCCACAGACGTGAGAAAGTTGTCTCAGTTTCTGTTTGTCACACCTGTTGCACAATTTATCTAAAAATGCCATATATATATATATATATATATATGTTCTTGTTTCATAAGGAGTTCAATTTTAAAGCACCTTAAACTTTTATTTACAATTAGTCCGTTTGCAACAGTTTAAAAAATGTAGATATGTCACTGAGGAAGTTGTTTTATTTTTGTGCTACTTCTCACCTCTACCCCTTTAAATTTAAGAATGTTGTGCTTTCTACTTCACTAAATCTTACAGGACAGCTATAATTACAAAGTAGTATTTATAAAATGTTTCTTTGTGTTGACATATGCTGTAACATAATACAGCATTAATAGTCTAACTCAATTTTCACATCCCAGTTCCCGGAAGGGCTTTTAAAATGCACAAAAGTCAATAATAAAATAATACAACTTCATCTGATTAATTTAAAGTTCAGTGGGTAAGGTTTTACATAATCCACACACAGCATAAAATCATGAAATACAATGCATTGTTAAATATTACATCATTGCTTTCTATCGTTTCTGGCTCGTGACAAAAATGCTGTGAGATATAGAGGCACCAATTGTAAAATTCTGGACCAATAACAGTACAATACAGTTTTTTGTTGTTGTTGTTTATTTTTGTTGTTATTTATTCCCCCGTTTGTGCCAGAGAAACAAAGACATCTTCATTATAAAAAATAACTGAACTGTTTTAAAGTCATTAAGTCCTTTATTACACTACCTCTGAATGAGCACAATTGTACACATTGATAAAACAACCTTCTTTTAAATGAGAAACATTTAAAAAAAAAAAACAGTTTCAGAAGTCCTAAAATTCCTAATTCCTAAATATCTTTTTTATTATTACTATTGAATTATTAAATTCTCCAACAAACAGCTGTATTTATTCAAGTTTCTCACCAACAACTACATTTTACAAGATCACATTTGAATGCATCATGAGAATGTTACAATCATTTGTCTTTGCCCTATAGTCATTTTTACTGAATAGAGCTTGAATGCATCATAATGTAACTCAGTGCAACCTCTGTCAGCAGTTAGGTCTGGCCAGTGGCTGCTAACAGCTGCTAATAGCTAATGTTAACTAGCTCTCCTACTGTTTATTTCAACTATGCCCCCACACAGGAGCAGCACCAGGCGTTGAAGCCAGTTTTACATAGTGGTTAAAAGTGGAACTACACCGTCTGACTCCATCACGTGATGCCATGGGGCCCAAAAAGACTTTTCACATTGGAAAAGAGGCATTTGTAAATCAGTAGGGTGCCCAGTACATTGCCTGGTAGAGTAGGCACTCCATACTTAGGCTGTGACCCTGCTGCTGCCGCCTGTGTTTGTGTGTTTGATTCCAGCCTGTGGCCCTTTGCTCCATGTCATTCAATCTCTCCCCCTTTCACACTTTAACTGTCCTATCAAATAAAAGGAAAACAAATCTTAAAAAAGCATCACAACCCCTGTGAAATGATTTTTTTTTTGTTAACCAGTTTGCTCTGATGAGATTTAGAAAGTCTAGAAGAGCAGCATGATTACATCTTTATATTCCCATTCAAGTTAGCAGAGTGCTAAACCAGAAGTTAGCTGCTCAGACGTGCTCTTAAGTCTCTAGTGCGCCTGCTCTAAGGGCCCCACAGTTTGGAAGATCCAGGTAATTTCATACCACAGACATCATGCACCACTGAGAAACTTTGAAAGGAATGAACAGGGGCTCGCCTCCAAAACTGTGTTTAGCTCTCGTAATATATCCATGATTTCAGCACTGATCAGTTGTTCACAATGTAGCATTATCAGGGAAACTGAAAGGTGCACCCCTTGACGTGTTGACAGTGAGTTTACTGTGTCCTTTAATCCTGATGGCCTCCAAGGCAAGATCTCTGTTTGTCCCCAACATGTTTAGCCTGCACAAAAGTGATGTGACACAACAGAAACATAGGCAACTGCCATCGGTGAATGTAATCTTATTTGAAAATGGGCAGATAACAATCAACAAGATGAGTGCCGGCTGTTACTGATGTGCGGCCGATAACTCAATCTCTACTTTATAACCAGAGTATACGTTTGAGGAAATGTAGTGCCAAAGGGAAGTGCTAGGTAAAGTAAAATGGTGTTAATATTCTAAATGTAGCATCCACTTAAACTGATAATAATGTTTTTATGTGGCTAAAATACATTTTGCTGCCAACCCCCATCCATGGTAGTGCATTGCTTAGCTTCTGAGATGATACGCCTGTCTGCTTCTGTGAAGTACCTCATACAACCCCACTTCCAAAAATCTGATGATCAGTTTGCTTAGTTGTGATGTTCAAACGACAAATTTTCATTATAAATGTCAAAATGGCTCCTTCAGTCTTTTATACAGAATCTTTTCCTTGAGTTTAATTGTTCTTGCTCTCAAACCATGTTTTCCTATTATTATAAAAACGCAGTTGCATCAACAGATCTTCATGATTTCTCAATAGTCTGCATATTGTTATCTAAAATCACACTTATATTAACACTTTTATTGTAAATCAAAGACATTGGGATCTGAAAATTGCCTCATGTTTAGTGCGCACCCTAAAACATCATAGCCATTATCCAGCTAAATATAAATAAGTCACTTTAGCAGGTTTGGGTTTCAATAGTTGTTACTCCGATGACTCCATGTACGAGGAACAGGGCCCATGTTTACTCATAAAAAGTCATAATCATAATTGTTGCTTCAGCCGCTCGCTCAGTTAAAGCTCTACACGGAAGCCTTTTATAAACCTGCCACAGTGTCAAACTCAGCGGCGTCCCATTTAATGCTGGTTTGTTGGGTCTCCAATATGTTTTCCAAACAGAGTTGCAGTAATCAGGTCATTTGTTATAATGACAACCATTAGGGGTGATCATCGTCACACAGCAGTCAGGCAGATAAATCAGGTGCTCTCAGATTCACCTCAATTACACACACACACACACACTTCCCTGCAGTGTTAGAGATTAAAGATGAAACATGTTAAATGATACATTAATTTTAATATCATATTCATTTCCTGTGCTTTTGAGGTGTAGTTCTCATTGTATTATCTGTCAGAGCCGAAATGATTTATTAGCTGTCAGAAATTAGTCAGCAACAATTAATAATTACTCTTGTTGAAGTTAGAATTGGAGCAAATAACTCACCGACAGGTTACAGGTGTAGTGTGAACATTTTATGGACTATTGGGCAGGCGTCACCATAGGCTTTGGGAGACTTAGGAGGCCAGCATATTACTGAAGGCTGCACGGGAAAAGTGCTCACTGTTGTATGACCTTTTAATGAAGATTATTTTGACATATGATGCTGTGACTTTTTAAATGAAATTTTCAACATTTCTATGAAATATGTTTTTGAATGTTTTGACAAATAATACCTTGACTTTATAATGAAATGTTTTTAAATGTTGTACTTCCATTTAAAAAGATTTTTCATAAATTATACTGACTTTATGACATTTTATTTATTTGACATAGTAAACTATGAATTTTTAATAACTTATTAGAGTTATTTAAATAAACTCTTATGGCATACAAACATTTTTATAAAATATTTTTGGAATTTTTTTTTTTTTTACAGACTGTGTTATGACTTTTTCAAATGACTTTTTTTAAAACCAGGTGACTTATTCGACAAATTATACTATGACTTTTTGAATGAAATTTTATCACATATTGTGATAGGATTTTTTTTTATATGAATTTTTTTGGATTTTTTTTTTACATAATATATTATGATTTCTTTGTGATATACTCTACTATAACTTTCTTATTATTTTTAATGAGATTTTTGTTGACATACTGTACTGACATTTTCCTGAAATATTTCTTCTATTTATTATACTAAAAGTAAAAATGGTATGACAAACTAGACTGTGACTTTAATGAAATTTAATGACATATTATACTGACTTTTTTTAAACAATTTATATGACATTCTATTAACTTTTGACTTTTGATTATGATATGTAACATTTTTATGACATTTTTGACACTGCTATGACTTGAATGTATGAAATACTATTGGAGGTTTCTGGACTTTTGATGTGCTGTACTTGGCTTTTTTTTTTTTAAAAAAATGCAATGCAAAATAACAAATAACAATTTTTTAAAATGCAATGCAAAATAACAATCCCTTTTTTTCTTAAATTGTATTACATACTATACTATCACTTATTAATGGAAATTTTATTACCTATAATACTGTGACTTTTTTTAAAAATGTATTTTTACATGAAAATCTTTTTTTGGTGTTACAGCACAGCTCAAAGACTGTGACAAAGATGGCAGACCAGACAAACAAACAGGTAAAAGCATTTTTATTTATAAAAGACAGAAATTAACCAAACAACACACCAAAGCAACCAATCGCTGTCATCAGGCTGGCTGGGAAGAGGCGATGCTCATGTAGCTGATGACTCTCCTTTAAGTTCCTGTAACATAACAACACAGAACTGTTTTTTCATGATTTATGACGACATGCTATGGTATGACTTTTTTTTTTTCATGATCCATGGTTTTTGACAACATGCTGCATTATGACGACATACTACTTGTCTTTCACATTTTATAAAATCATTTGATATATTGCACTAAGCCTTTTTATGGTTTTTGATGACCATGACCCTTTCTCATGAAATATGCTGACATACTATACTATGACTGTTTTACATTGTTTTTAACAGCATACTATGCTATGACTTTTTGTCATGGTTTTTGACGACATACTATACTATGAGGTTTTCTAAATTTTATGACATACCACAGTGTGACTTTTTTTTTTTTTTTACTTCAAAGTTATTACACATCGTCTCCACGTGTAAGAGTGGGCTTAAAACTCTTCTCTTAGATGAAGCTTATAGTTAGGTCTGGCTCAAGCTTGCCTTTCACCAGCCCACTTATGAGGCTGCTATACACCTAGTCTGCTGTGGGATGATACTCTGAGCGCCTCTTTCCCTTCAGTGACAAACATCCATGTCCCATAACTGCATGTTACTAACTTGGCTTCTTCTCTGGAGCTTTTGTGCTTTCTTGTCTCACAGGTTTCCATGAATCGGGTTTGCATCTGCTGCTGTGGTCCTAACTGATGCCTGCTGCTATTACTATTTATCATATTTATACTATTTACTATACACAATTGTTATTATCACACACATATTATCTTATATTAATATGTACAAATAACAAATATACCATCATATAGTGCTACTATTATTTTCCATGTTTTTATTATTACTGTTATTGTTGCTGTGCATCTCTCTCTGTCTCCCTCTCAGTATCACTTAGACATTCCATATGACCATGTTGTAATTTTATTTTGTTAACCATTTGGTAAATTTGACATCTGTTGAATATCTGTCCGACCTGTGTGAAGGATCCGTCCTTAACTGCTCTTACTGAGGTTCCTCCAGATTTTTTCCTTGTTAATTTATTATTTTTTTGGGCGGGGGTGTTTCCTAATCTTCTGTGAGGATCCAAGGATGAAGGCTCTTGTACACTGTAAATCCCTTTGTAGCAAGTTGTGATGTTTGGCTATGCAAATAAAATTAATTAAACTGAACTATGACTGTTATTATTCATGTTTTTTGACAATGCTGACATACTGTACTATGACTGTTTAATGAAAAGTGTTACATACTATACTGTGATTGTTTTCATAATATGACGACATACTATGACTTTTTTCATGATATATGAAAACATACTATACTATGACTTTTTTTTTACTGGTTTTTGATGACATGCTCTACCAAAGTTTTTTTTTTTTTGCTGGTTTTTGACAATATGCTATACTATGACTTTTTTTCATGATTTTGATGATATTTATGATTTATGACGATTTATGACAACATACTATACTATGACTTTTTTTCATGGTTGTTGACAACATGCAATACTATGACTTTTTTTCGTGGTTGTTGACAACATACTATACTATGACTTTTTTTTCATGGTTTTTGACACCATGCAATACTATGACTTTTTTTCGTGGTTGTTGACAACATACTATACTATGACTTTTTTCCATGGTTTTTGACACCATGCCATACTATGACTTTTTTTCATGATATGACGACATACTATACTATGACCTTTTTTTCATGGTTGTTGACAACATGCTATACTAGGACTTTTTTCATGTTATATGACGACATACTATACTATGCCTTTTTTTCATGATATATGACGCCATACTATACTATGACCTTTTTTTTCATGGTTGTTGACAACATGCTATACTATGTATTTTTTTCATGATTTATGACGACATACTATACTATGACTTTTTTTCATGGTTTTTGACACCATGCAATACTATGACTTTTTTTCATGATTTATGACGACATGCTATACTATGACTTTTTTTCATGGTTTTTGACACCATGCAATACTATGACTTTTTTTCATGATTTATGACGACATACAATACGATGACTTTTTTTCATGGTCTTTGACGACATACTATACTATGACTTTTTCATGGTTTTTGATTACATACTATACTATGACTTTTTTTCATGATATATGACAACATGCTATATTTTTCCATGGTTTTTGACAACATGCTATACTATGACTTTTTTCCATGATTTTGACGATATTTATGATTCATGACGACATACAATACTATGACTTTTTTTCATGATTTTTGACACCATGCAATACTATGACTTTTTTTCATGGTTTTGACGATATTTATGATTTATGATGATTTATGACGACATACAATACTATGACTTTTTTTCATGGTTTTTGACGACATGCTATACTATGACTTTTTTTCATGATACATGACGACATACTATACTATGACCTTTTTTTCATGGTTGTTGACAACATGCTATACTAGGACTTTTTTCATGATATATGACGACATACTATACTATGACCTTTTTTTTCATGGTTGTTGACAACATGCAATACTATGACTTTTTTTCGTGGTTGTTGACAACATACTATACTATGACTTTTTTTTCATGGTTTTTGACACCATGCAATACTATGACTTTTTTTCATGGTTTTTGACGACATGCTATACTATGACTTTTTTTCATGATACATGACGACATACTATACTATGACCTTTTTTTCATGGTTGTTGACAACATGCTATACTAGGACTTTTTTCATGATATATGACGACATACTATACTATGACCTTTTTTTTCATGGTTGTTGACAACATGCAATACTATGACTTTTTTTCGTGGTTGTTGACAACATACTATACTATGACTTTTTTTTCATGGTTTTTGACACCATGCAATACTATGACTTTTTTTCGTGGTTGTTGACAACATACTATACTATGACTTTTTTCCATGGTTTTTGACACCATGCCATACTATGACTTTTTTTCATGATATGACGACATACTATACTATGACCTTTTTTTCATGGTTGTTGACAACATGCTATACTAGGACTTTTTTCATGTTATATGACGACATACTATACTATGCCTTTTTTTCATGATATATGACGCCATACTATACTATGACCTTTTTTTTCATGGTTGTTGACAACATACTATACTATGATTTTTTTTTCCATGGTTTTTGACACCATGCAATACTATGACTTTTTTTCATGATATGACGACATACTATACTATGACCTTTTTTTCATGGTTGTTGACAACATGCTATACTAGGACTTTTTTCATGTTATATGACGACATACTATACTATGCCTTTTTTTCATGATATATGACGCCATACTATACTATGACCTTTTTTTTCATGGTTGTTGACAACATACTATACTATGAATTTTTTTCATGATTTATGACGACATACTATACTATGACTTTTTTTCATGGTTTTTGACGACATACTATACTATGACTTTTTTCTTTATCATATATGATGACATGCTATACTATGACTTTTTTTCCTATGTTTTTTGACAACATACTATACGATGACTTTTTTCCCATGGTTTTTGACAACATACTACATTATGACTTTTCAATCATGATTTTTGGCGACATACTATACAACACTACTTGTCTTTCACATTTTATAAAATCATTTGATATATTGCACTGACTATTTCTTCAAATGAAACTTTACAATTTCATGAAATACTCTTATCTAATTTTTTTTTTGACATACTGTACTGTGACCATGAAATACTGTTTGACTTTCTGATATACTAATTTGACTTTTAATATTTTTTTCACACACTGTACTATGACTTTTGACATACAATACTATGAGTATCAAATGTTATGACATACTGTAGTATGACCTTTTTCCAACATACTATACTACCAGTTTGTCGTGAAATTTTATGAGTTATTATAATTTTATTATCTTTTTTTAAACGAATTTGAGTTTTTATACTGTGACTTAACTCATACTATGCCTTGACTTTTTTGGCATGCTGTAGTAGAACTGTTTTATGAAATTATTTGGGGATTTTTTTTTCCTACTATTCCATGACTTACTGACATTTTATGACACTGTATTATGATTTTTTGAAGAATTGGATTGTTTTTACAAACTATTATTTTTCAGTCAATTTATTCTACATACTGTCCTGACTTACATGAAATATTTTTTGGAAAATTTTGGCATACTATACTATGATTTTTATTTGATGAATGTTTTTTGACATACTGTAGTTTGACTGATTAAATACTCATGGAACATTCTATCCTGTCCTTTTTTCTTAATCTTTTGACATGTTATACTAAGACTTTTTCAATTAAATATTTTTGGAATTTTCAATAATACACTGCAGGGTTTTTTCAACTCTAACGTTCATTAAATGGTTTTGGGAATATTCTTTGATCACATATCACACTAAGGCACATCACAATGTGCAAAAACCGAATGAAAAAGAGCTATCAGTGCACAGAACCACAACATTCTCTCTCTACCAATATCACCTTCCCACTCCCGTGTTTCTCTCCCACATACCCACACACCTTACCTCATGTTTTCCATGGAGTTCAAGGAAAAGTCTGTGGGAGAAGACACAGTAGTTTGACTACTTGACAGCAGCCCAAATTTTCTGAAAAGCTATTATGCATGGTTGAAACTGCGTCACATGAGAACACGCTGTTTTGTATAATTGCTGGTGTTGCTATATCAATCCATTTGTTGTTTGTTTGCTGGTTCTCTGTCTGTCCATCCCATTCTCGTGAATGCAACATCTCAAGAATGTTGTGTGGAAATTTTGTTAAATTTGGAAAAAAATGTCCACTTTGAGTCAACAATTAACTGATGACATTTTGATGTCACCATCACCTCACAAAAGATGTTATTGGCCATACCTCAAGAATTTATATGCTGATGAATTATGATTACATTTCAAATAAATATCTAATAGCATAAAATGATAAAGTGATGGTGATGTGTTTTATACCCCCAAAGGTCAACTTCACTGTGACACTCTAATGTCGACCATGAAACCGCTGTGATTGTATAGATCCTCTGTGCTGCTGAATTGAAGATGAGGGGGAAGCATCCATGTTTTAGAATTTGTAACTTCTTTGCAGCAACATCCATATTTAACACATTGTCTACGGTCATGGCTACATATGACTCTGGACAGACATGAATGTAAACTGCAACTTGACTGGTTGGTGGAAGCACACAGACGAGGCAGTAATTCTAGGTTTTATGACAGGATACTTTGACTTTTTTGACTTACTATACTATGATAATTGAGATTATATTTTTATGGCATACTATACAATGATTTTTTTTAAAGTATTTAAATGGACCATGGATTATGAAAATATAACGCATGCATTTCATGTCACATTCAGAGACTGAACTTTGAGAAACTACGAATTAGATGATGAGTATTAGATTGCACATCACAGTTAGTAGTTGGCACGTTAAGCTCATGATTAAATTACGAGTCCAAGTTTTCATGAAGGAAAAAATATTTTTATTTACAGAATACTTATATTTCAGTCAACTACAAAACTAGTTAGAGGATTACAGTTTTTCTGGCCATAAAATGAAGCTCATATGAAACGTTTGTGTCTCTGATCAGATATTGTGATAATGGTGCTAATGAATAGCTACACAAACAGAAACAAATGATGCATTAATAGACACAGTGCATTTGGAGCATTGGTGTGTGTGTATGTTACAGTGGACACTCTGGTTCATATCCAGGACCAAAATCATTCACCTTCTTCAGT